GGCTGAAGGTGTTCTTACGTCGATGCTGCTGCCCAGTCTGGAGCCGAAGTCGCTGCGGCCGCTCCGGAAATCTCCCTGATCCTTTTCCCTGATGATCTCCAGCACCAGCTCCCGCGCTTGCTGTAGAACACACACTCAAGAGTCAGACACGTGTCTCAAACATCATCTGTGACTGGGGTGTATTTGTAGCAATAGTCAACAATACATTGTATGGGTCAAAATTATAGATTTTTCTTTTATGCCAAAAATCATTAGGATATTAAGTAAAGATCATGTTCCATGAAGATATTTTGTAAATTTCCTACCGTAAATATATCAAAACTTAATTTTTGATTAGTAATATGCATTGCTAAGAACTTCATTTGAACAACTTTAAAGATGATTTTCTCAATATTTAGATTTTTTTGCACCCTCAGATTCCAGATTTTCAAATATTGTCCTATCCTAACAAACCATACATCAATGGAAAGATTATTTATTCAGCTTTCAGATGATGCATAAATCTCAATTTCACAAAATTGACCCTTATGACTGGTTTTGTGCTCCAAGGTCACATATATTGGTGGTGACATATATATACTGGTGGTGGATGAGGAGATACCCCCCGACAATGTAAAGCGCTTTGAGTGCCTAGAAAAGCGCTATATAAATGTAATGAATTATTATTATTATTATATGAAATGGCACAAATGTATAATTTTTCCTCATACCTCCCAGAAGTCTGGCGGTCAGCTGGAGAGTGCAGTGCTCAGTGACGCCGCAGCTCAGCAGCTCAGCATCGTCCTCCAGAGGAGCTCCAGCCAGCAGAAGCACCTGCTCCTCCACAGACAGACCCTCCAGAGCCTGAACACGAGCCTGCAGACAGAAGAACACAGCTCAGATCACGGACTCGAGACGGCTGCCGGAGAGGAGAGGAGAGGAGCGGCTCACCTTCAGCTCGCGGACGCTCTCGTGAGCGGACACATGGAGCGTGTGCAGAGTCTGAGCGCGCAGGAACAGCTGCATGATGAGCTGAACACAAACCAACAGCAGATCAGTACATTCTCACAAACACACTCTCACTGCAGCCACGCACAACACAACAGGGCTACTGCTGACAACCTTAAACATCATTTGTAACCATTTAGAAGTTACTTGTAACATTTTCAAATGTTAAACGATTTTAAGTTGAAAGCAATTATTTTTAAATGTTTAACAACTTTTTTTTTTAAGTTAAAAGAAACAGTTTTTCAAATGTTAAACATTTTTTAAAGCTAAAAACAACATTTTTAAAAGTTCAAAGCAACAATTTTTAAATGTTAAACAATTTTTTTCTTTAAAGTTAAAACCAAATTTTTTAAAAGTTAAAAATCAACAAATTTTTAAGGTGAAAGCAACCATTTCTAAATGTTAAACAAAAACTATTTAAACTTAAAATTAAGCATCCATTTTTTAAAGTGTTAAACAACGTTTTTTTAAGGCTAAAAACTAAATTTGTAAAGTTAAAAGCAACAATTTTTAAAAGTTAAACAATTTTTTAAAAGTTAAAACTAAAAATTGTTGCTTTTTAACTTTTAATAATGTTTTTAAGGTAAAAGCAATTTAAACTTTAAACTAAGCAACAATTAAAAAAATGTTAAACGCAACAATTTTTTAAAGTTAAAAACAATTTTTTTTTTATTTTTAAAAGCTAAACTTTTTTTTTTAAGAGTTAAAATTAACCATTTTTAAATATAAAATGCAATAATTTTAAATGTTAAATGAAAAAAAAAAAACATTTTAAAAGTTAAAACCAAAAATTAAGTTTAAAGCAACAATTTTAAATGTTAAATGCAACCATTTTAGAATGTTAAACGCAACAATCTTAATAAAAAAATTAAATGCAAAATTTTTCTTTTTACATTTAAATTTTTTTTTTAAGTTAAAAGCAAAAGTTGTAAACGTTAAACAATTTTTAAACGTTACATACAACAATTTCAAATTTAACATGATATACTTTTAAATATTTAACTATTATAAACGTTAAATGCATGCAACATTTTAAATGTTATTTGTAACCATGTTAAATGTTAAATGTAACAATTATGGTAACATGACAAATGCAACAATTCCAAATGTCAACTGTAACATTTACTGTAACGAGAATCAACACTGACGATGACAAAGACCCCTCAAAACTAAAACGCTGCTTTAAGATAACGACAATTTGATAAGTTTTATATTTATATATAAATATATATTTATATTTAAAGAGCCCTTGCGCAAAAAAAACAAAAACGGTGCTAAGGGTGTTTTATTTTCTTCAGAAGCGTGTAATCAGTGCGGAAATGTTCGTCTGACTGCATCCATCTCCTCACAGATCCCAGCACATGTTTAATAAGAGTACATGAAGAATAATAATCGGTGTATCTCTGAGGAAACCGCTGAGAGCGCCTGAGAGAAACACGCGGAGCACATAAACGCGCTTTAACGCCTCATTCTGACGCATTTCTGCTCGAGATGTGGCTGTAAAACACGGGAACACGTATCACAGACATTCACGCATCATTAAAGCAGATTAAACACCTCAACCGCGACAAATAAGTGACTTGATCAGCAGGCCTTACATTAGATGATGCGAGTCGATCCGCAACTGGACGAGAAAAGGACAGCGCGCATGCGCGGCGCAAAGAACTCTGGGAAGCACGCTGCCCACGTGACCACCACGTGGCTTCTTCTTTTTGTTCAATGGCCGTTCATTTAAAGAGCACATGCTCTACTGTTTCAAAAACACCACATTCATCACACATACCATTTTCATGCAAGTGTTGAGTTTAGTCCTGTGTGACCCGTCCTTAATCTAGAAATCATTGCTTCTTCCTTTCTGTGCCTTCCATAAAACGGTTCCTACTGATTTTACAACATTATAATACCACCTACCTGTGCTGCTATTTTCCCATCTTTGTTGCCATATTCTCATTATTTCCCTATTAATGACTGATTTTATCTCATTTCTTCCCAGAGGTACCTTAACATCCACCAAGCACTCACTGGTCTGTTCCTTATATTGCTAAAAAGACTGTTACGCTGATCTTCATATTTACTACATTTAAAGAGCACATGCTCTACTGTTTCAAAAACACCACATTCATCACACATACCATTTTCATGCAAGTGTTGAGTTTAGTCCTGTGTGACCCGTCCTTAATCTAGAAATCATTGCTTCTTCCTTTCTGTGCCTTCCATAAAACGGTTCCTACTGATTTTACAATATTATAATACCACCTACCTGTGCTGCTATTTTCCCATCTTTGTTGCCATATTCTTATTATTTCCCTATTCATGACTGATTTTATCTCATTCCTTCCCAGAGCTACCTTAACATCCACCAAGTTTTTCTTTTGCTAACTTATCCTCTGTTTCATTCCCTGCTATCCCGATATGTGCCCAACAGAAGTATATGATTATACCCTCTATGTTCAGTCTGTACAGTAATGTATACATTTCTACTAGCAGCTCTTCTCTATCAGTTTTTGTCGACAATATACTTTTAAGAGCTGATGAAGAATCTGAGCAAATTACAGTCGGAGTCCTATTTGGCTTAATCTGTTCTGCAATCCTACTATTATTCTGTAGAATATACGGACAGTTTGTCACTTAACCTTAAACTTATTTCCATCTTAAATCCATTTAATGGCATGTTGGAACAGATTTCTTCTTTATTCTCCAGACCACAATCCTTCATACTTCCAACCAAAACTATTCCCTCCATTCTTTTTATATTCCCAACAATCATTTAAAATTGTGCGTGTAGATGACTCTTATTACTAGATTAACCCAAGCTTTTCTCTTCTTAAATCTAATGGCATCTCCCCCGTTTCGACCCTGATGGCATCTAGAGGAGTTGATCTTATCGCTCCACAGCAGACTCAAGTGCTCTGGACTGTATGTTGTCCAGTTCCTTTAATTCTGCACTGCACATAGTCTATACTAGACCATATTAAGGCTTGGTATACATGTAACACTGCACTTTTCCTTGCTCCCCATTCATAGCTATTGAAGTCATGCAATTTATTCCTCGTTTGCATTTGTTTTCAATTTTCTTAATATGTCTCTTCCAAGTTAATTTAGATATTTGAACTCTGTCACGCTTTCTAACAATTGTTCATATCATTCATACTTGGCTATTGAAGTCATGCAATTTATTACTCCTTTGCATTTGTTTTCAATTTTCTTAATATGTCTCTTCCAAGTTAATTTTTCATCAAAGATTAATCCAAGATATTTGAACTCTGTCACTCTTTCTAACAATTGTTCATATCATTTCAGAGTAATTTGTTCCTTTTTCTTTGTAAAACCCATATATTGAGAGGCTTTTATCAAGTCATTTATTCCTTTCTATATTTTTCTATTGTTACATTGATTTCTGCAGGTTTGGGCCTCATTACTCCGTTACCAACTTCTCTCAAATTACTTAAAATCTGATTTGTTTTAAAATTTCAGTGATTACAGAGGATCTGAAGCCCATTATTACAAACCTTTCTGATCACCGCATAGCTTTTACCCTCCAACTTACCCCAGATTCATATTTCAAAACAGCGTCAGATTGCATTGACGATGTTATTTAGACAAACTGCAACTGTGTACTACAGACAGCATTATATAACAGTAAACTATTATATAACAGAAGTAAATCAAGCACTCAGACGTGTAGGATGTCAATCTCTTTATTATGAAACCAAGTCAAAATAAAAAAGGTCTTCATGTTTCACGTTTCTCTCTGAAAACAGGATCACACGGAGGAGCGGAGATGAGGATCAAGTCTTCCAGATGAATGTCAATCTGTCCGCGAACACAACTAAACCTCCAGAAGCACTAAACCAACTCGGCTCATTAAAAACTCACTTGCACTTAGAGGGAAAAGAGCTCGTGCCAAAAACAGAAAGCACACCGCGTGTGATTGGAGACGGGATGAATGCTGAAGCTGAAGGAGCAGTAGACACGGCCGGCGCAGTCTGTTATGTTGGAGGCGGTGGGTAGTACTGGTTATACTGACTGTACTGACCCCAGGAGTTCTGACCGCCCCACGAGTTATACTGCTGAACACAGAAAACACACAGTCACATGAGACACCCTGGAGCACAAAACCAGTCATAAGAGTCAATTTTATGAAATTGAGATGTATGCATCATCTGAAGCTGAATAAATGCGCTTTCCATTGATGTATGGTTTGTTAGGATAGAACAATATTTGGTCGAGATACAACTATTTGAAAATCTGGAATCTGAGGGTGCAAAAAAAATCTAAATATTGAGAAAATCATCTTTAAAGTTGTTCAAATGAAGTTCTTAGCAATGTATATTACTAATCAAAATCAGGGGTCATGCTCACTCATAAAGTTTATTTATCTCTTTGTTTGCTTATATATTTATTTTTGTAAAATGCTGTTTTGTGCTATCATCTATGCAAAGTTGCAATAAAGTTACATCATAGTTAACAATTACTTGTTTACATAGGATATATATATATATATATATATGTAATGTATTTTATATTATTTGACAATGTTCTAATTCAACATGCCATGTGAAGTCAATCTAACTTAACATTTTCTTATATTGATATTATTTCTTCATCATCAGGCTCTTAATGATTTAATCTGCCATCTTTTGGAATATCTGAAGGCCATGTATCATAGTTCTTAACTGTAGCATTTGTTATAATAAGACTAGCCTGTTAATCATAGCTACAACATGCCACAGCTGTAATATAAAGCTATTCGCTTAACAGATTATCTAATAGAAATTCTACAACAAGTTAGACTACATTTTACACAATAAACAAGCCTGCAATAAAACGTGATGAATTCTAGTAAAGGTGGTCATGAGAGTTTAATATATGTTAGTGCTGGTTTAAGACCGTTTTCTCCTCTTTTCATCAGTCTTTATGTAAGTGAGGATAGCTAAATAAAGTGACATTATACCCAAAAACTCTTCCAGTAAAATTTAGGAGCAATAATAATTCAGACACTTTGAGCTGAGCATGTGTTACTTCAGTGTTTTTCTTTAATTGCTAATGTGATCTTTTTACACCACAGACTGAACTAAATGAAGCACTGCTTGGTAATTAGTTGAGCTAAATTGGTTTTATCTAATTGTGTTCTTAAATGTAACAGCTGACAGCTATTCAACCGAATTCATTACATACCTTTCTATCAAAGTTATCTGAGATTATCAAGATGAGTTTGTTCTGACTCAGTTTAACTCTGAGCTCTTCTCATATTTTATTACCATTTTCTAAACTACAGCGAATAAACTGTGATATAATGTGAGAAATGTTGAAGGTGTCTGAATAATTTCGGTTTGACTTGGGTGTGGGCGATATGGCAAAAATATATCACTATATTTATCACTTCTTTTTTTTTTTTTAGAAATATCACGATTTTATCACGATTCTTTGTCATGTTATTTTTACTATTTTGCAAGCTGTTTGAGCAGTACAGCCAAACTAATTTCCCTATTATAAAGACAAAGCCTTTCAAGGTAACAAAACATTAAGAATGGCTGATATTTAGACCAAAGTGGGAGAAGATAAAAATCTGTCGTCATTATTTTATCTGTTATTAAAAAATTAGAACATGGACACACATTACAAACACATAATATACAAATAAAACAAACAGTGCTTTATTTTCAAGTACAATAAGTGTATTTAGCAGCAGCATTCAAGAAATTGAATGAACAAATATAAAAAATAAAACACTACTGTATTAAAGTTTTTCAGTCAAGAATAGTGAGTGATTTTTCTCTGCGTTTTGTCGTTTTATTAACATTAAAGGAAAGCTGCACGCATGTAATATACAGACACGCATCCGTTTCTCTCTCAACTGTTTACTTTCATTTTAGACATAACCAACTGAGTCTATATGCAAACCTTGTGTGTTTTGACAGTATTGGCGCAAAAGATAACTTAGTTTAGAAATCAAGCGCACGTCAGAACAGCGCGTGAATGAAACGTTTAGCCTGTAAGGCTTTAAAGCAGATGCAAATAATGCACTTTTGTGATTGTGAATAAGTGCAGTGTCCAGTGAGAGTAACTCTACCGCTGAGTTAACATTAGATGTGATCACAGTATATTGATACAGCGGCGCCAGAACTGCAGCTGACTGAATGTGCGCTGTAGCACGATACTACGATATTTCTTCAGAAGCAGATCGTGGAGACATTTTTATCGTCCACGATCAAAAACCGTCATATTGCACAGCCCTAGTTTGACTGTAAATGCAGTCGGAGGCAGGACTGACCTGGTACCAGTTGTTGTAGTTGTATCCGGCGTGATTGGCCTGCATGTCCTGCATCATCTGACCCGAGGCTCCTGATTGGTCGTCTGTCCGCTGTCTCTTTGAGTCCGGCTCTTCTGAGCTGCAGACGAAACATATCAGATTCAATGTTGAAATTCAACTTCAACCAAACATATCATATTCAATGTTGAAATTCAACTTCAACCAAACATATCATATTCAATGTTGAAATTCAACTTCAACCAAACATATCAGATTCAATTATTCGCATCGCTCTAACCGGCATTTCAGCATTTTCATTAAGTAAATCAATAATGGAATTATTTTTAAACTAGCATAAAGGCAACAAATCCAATCATAAACTATAAACGCCGTAAAAATGTTTCGCCACATCACTACACTGTTATAATTATTTTTCAAAGTTGTAAATAAAAAAATTATTGGAGTACGTTTTACAGAAGGATATTCTCTCAATTTTGTACTTTAAAAATGTTTAATTCAAATGTGTTACTTGCCATTTCTTTCTAATTGTGAAATTTACTAGTAGTTTCTTAATAAAATCTTTTTTTCCCCAGACTTTTATGGGAATGGGGAATATAGAATACATTACTATAAAAACATTTTGAAACATTAGTTCCGGGAGAAATGGTGGGACACATTTTGATTTAAAATTGACCCCTAAAAAGTTACAATAATTATAATAAGATTATACGAGTATGTTTAACAGGGTTCATACAGATACTGCAAAATGAAATTCCAGGACTTTCAAGCACTTTAAGCACGATTTTGTTTTGCTTTTCAAGGACTAAAATCAGATCTCACATATCAAACAATATCGTTATTATCTTTCAAATTCTAATAAATAAACTAATAAAACAAAATGAAACAAATAAAGTGCAACAAAAGCAAAGCATGCAATGACTGTGGCAACTTTAACATTTAAAAGGATACTATGCCAAAGATATCGCTTTCCTTATTCAAACTGATTTTTTTATGAATATATGATTGACCTGAAGAATGAAAACTAGGCTATATCATACACTTGGAAAGTTAATAGCTATATCACGCTCAGACACTAGGGGGTGTGAAAATAAACTTAGCTCATGCGATGAGACAAAATACAGATACTCGGTTCACTAAAACCATACTATTTTTAAGAACTTCTCAATTACAAAACATTTGTCTTTTAATCACAAAATGCAAAACAATGTAGTTGCATTTTGAAATGTTTTAACTAATCTAGGGCCGTAACTAACAATTATTTTGGTAATGGGCAATTCTAGCATTACAGATATTCGCAATCAAAATCTGAAATATAAATTCTCACAGAACGTATTCATTACTAATATGATGAACGATCTCTTTATATTTTTCTAAACCCTCGACAGTAGTCAAGAGTCCAGCCATCTGAGAAATATCCATCTATAAACCCGTTTTATATTTTTGATTTGGGAAATACACATGCGTTACGGACATGACAGAAAAAGTCCCGAGTTTTTGGGAGACAACATATTTTGTAGAATTTCAGCGATTTGCTATACACAAACCAAAAGCAACAATATCTGCCGAATGGAGAAGGGTTGGCTGTTCACAAAACATAAAATATCAATTTTGTTTAAATATTCCTTTTTGTGTTTCAGATGAAAAATCAATGTTACGGACGTGACCGTTCCGAAAGCAGAATTTATCCGACTATGGAAATGCGTATAAAATGCTTTAAAAACTTTAACAGAGACGTCTAGATGGTATTTAATAGGACTGCCCCCAAAGATTTTTCTAGTTAACTGGTAGTCGTTCAATTAAGCCATTATTCAACTAATCGCACGTTTATATTAAATTAACATAATACTAATCCTAGTGAGCCATACCCGCGCTCAAGCACAGGCATAAAGTTTGCCACAAAGCACAGGCAAAAGTAGCCAAATGATTATGAAAAAGGAGACATTTTAATTTTTTATTAATAGTTCTCGTCGGCTGCAAAGATGAAATTCACGGTAGGCTTGATATTTTTCAGATATTTTTGGATAGACTGAAAAGCCTGTTGACTTTTGCCGTTTATCTAAGGTGATTTTGAAGTTTTTTTAAACATTCGTTTCTTATTTAATTGGTTCCATATTTATTTTTTAAACTTTGTGTCATTTATTTTATTTGACATCAAGGTGTATGCCGTGCCTCCAAGCTTTCTTACTCGTTTTGCTAATAAACGTTCTACATTTCTTATTTATTTGGTTATATATTATACATGTTTACTTATTTCCAGTTTTGTAAACCTATTTAAACTTTATGAAAGTTACTTGTTATTTTATATTAGGCATAGCCTGCCCTATAGCATGGTGCATTTTTATTTGTTTTGTTCATTCTAAAGGGCTGGGCGATATATTTAAAAAAATGATATCTCGATATTGTCAAAATGTTTACGATATACATCTCGATATGTTTGCATTTGCTTTTAAATAATAAAAAAAAAACATGATTTTCTTTTGCCCCATTAAAAAAAACAACAAAAACAATTTGGATAGAACAGCTATTGTTACAAAGTAAATACAAAATGTTTAGTGCAAATTTAAAATCTAGACCAAGTGATCACTTACTGCTTTTTATTAAATGAACACATGTATATGTAACTGAA